GACCCGTTCTGTGGATTGTGCCACGTCGCTTTCGCTAGGCAAGTTTTAACGCTTCAAGTTGTCTGCTCTCTAAGAAATTTGTGTTTCGGTGTGTCTTTGGACGAAAGTCGAAAAACTTATTTCTGTGGTCTGGTTCTAAGTCGCTCTTCAAACTAATTGTTCTTGGTTGAAGAATAGTCCAAAATTTTGCGTGAATCTTGGCCAGCTATCGTGAGGCGGCTTCAACACTGGACACTCATCTCTGCCGTCCGGGACTGAATTAACTGTCTTCTGTCCGCCAGGGTCGAACGAACTCTTCTCTGCCCGCCTGGGTCCGACTGAACTACTGGGCACTCATCTCTACTGCCAGGGCCGACTGAACTACTGGGCACTCATCTCTACCGCCAGGGCCGACTGAACTCTTCTCTGCCCGCCTGGGTCCGACTGAACTCGGCACTCAGGGCCAAACGAACTCCCTTCCTTGCCACCAGGGCCGGACGAACTCTTCTCTGCCCGCCTGAGTCGAACGAACTCGGCACTCAGGGCCAAACGAACTCTCTCTACCCGCCAGAGTCGACTGAACTCGGCACTCAGGGCCAAACGAATTGGCCTCTTCTGCCCGCTAGGGCCGGACGAACTGATTTCTGTCTGGTGGAGCTTCGTTTTTATTGACGCCGACCAAAACCGGGGTGGGTCTGTTGGCGTCGGGGGTTCCTCGATAATTCTAAATATATATCCACCTCTTTTATTTCTGGTTAGGGATTTTCCACTCTTTTCCATTTTTAGTAACTTTTTTTTTCACTCCCACTTTCTCACCATGCTTCTGAGGGGCGTGAACTGCCCTCCCCACTTCTTCGTAGTGGCTTCTCATACTTACACTCTGGATAGGGGCGTCGACAGTTTTCTTCGTCCGTCACGTGACCACTCTCGGCCAATGAGGTCTTGGTCGGGTATCTTTCCTCCTCCTTCGTGCGTCATGTGATCACCACTTGGCCAATGACGTCTTAGTCGGGCGTGAACAACCCGTGGCTTTGTTTTGGAAAAGAAATATACCTTGCTTAACTAAAAAAAATAATGATCTCTCCTCTTTTTTTTTCTTTCTTTCCTTCAAATCGCCGTTATCATGAACGGATAATGTGACAACTCTTTGTCCAACACGTGGCGTTTGTCAAGCAGTTTATCGGTAATGCATTAGACGGCTGGATTTTCCGACATGGTCTAAGAAAGGAATTTTCTCCAAGTTCTCAGCCAGTCTGGCGTCTCCAAAGCAGAAATAAAAATATTTCATTTTCCTTCGGTTCATGTGTCTGATAACAAAATGTTATTATCGCAGGGCAAAAGTCTGTTTTGTCGAAAAAAAAAAAAAACTTAACCAGTGAAACTACTTGTGTGGGATTTTAATTTTCCATACCCAGCTAAGGCTCCAAGCTACACCTGTGTTTTGTCAATTATCAAAATCTAACGTTTTCAAGTGGACTTTTTTTTGGTGAACATTTCTTGATAACACAATTCCATTCGCGCGGACAAGTGCGGAAATCGGTCAACGCTTGTTCGCAGGTGGCCTTTTAACCAATAGTTTAGATAACACTTCCCTACCAATCTCATTGTCATTGTAATGAAACTCTTTTCGACATTTGACACTTATCCAAAATAACCCTTTTCTTTCTTATCTTTTCTTAAGCCGTGTGTGTGTGTGTTCGCCTATGATCCGTTTACTTTTTCGTTTTCCCTATTTTCTTCTTTTTCTCTCTTTCAAATCGCCTGGATGCATGGTGCCACAATCCTCTTGCAAAAAGAAAGAATTATTCTTAAAACCTAAAATACATTTCGGCCTTAAATAATCCTCAAATGGTTGATAAACCGTAAAAAAGCAAATCATATATCTATAAATATATCTTTCAAATCGCCTGGATGCATAGTGCCACACAGGTTAAGATTGCAGTGATCGGGGAAACATCCTTTTGGGAGTCTGTTCCATAGTTCGTGGGAAGAAGCTATTTGAGTGGAACTTCTCGCCGATGGAATAAAGAGGGAATATGGGTGCTTTGCTTCAATGTAAGTGGCATGGCGACTTCTAGCCGTGAAGGTTACTCCTGGCGAAATCAAAGAATGTAGTTCGTGCGAGCACTTTCCATGGTAGTAGCGATAGAACGGTGAGAGGCTTGCCACATCTCGTCTGTAAGACAGAGGTTGGAAGATGGGAAATAATTCTTCTCCAACAAGCACTCAAAGAAGGTTTTGAATACTCTATCGAGACTGAAAAGTCAGGACGGAGCTACTCCCTCCCAAATACGGCAACAGTACTCCATTTTCGGCCTGATCTAGCTCTTAAAAAGATAGTAGATAGCATGAGGGTCATGTACAGGGAACTGATCAATTTACCTGTATCTTTAGTTATGTATCGTATATAATAGTTACACGTGTTTGCGTGTAATTTGTCTCGGAGACGCTTCTGGACCCTATCGAGATTTGAAAATGAGGACTGAGAAGCTCCCGCCCAATTATAGAAACAACATTCCATTTTCAGACTGATCTGGCTCTTGTAAAGGTAGAGGATAACATGATGGAGCCATGTACAGGGAACTGATCATTTTACCTGTATCAAAAGAGATGCATTGTATATAAGAGTTACACGTGTTTAAGTTTAAGCTACAATAATACCTCAAAGCACGGGGACTCCTCGAGGCGACATCCGTTCACGGTGACAAGCGGCAGTTCGTCGATCGGCGGGTTGGAATGTAACCAGTTTGGATTCCGAGGCATGAATAAAAACAGCAAAATTCCCCACACCCTCAATTTATTTTACTTTTATTAACCCGTTGCGTCTTAGTAGCTTTATTGCCTTGCTTAGGGTGAAATGGTTAAAGAAAAGAATCGGACATAGTGATGAAAGACTACAAAATATCTTTTCATAGATATGACGGTGATATATATGTGAAAGAATATGACAAAATGAATAAATGTAAGGATGCTAAGAGCTTCAAAAAGAGGAAGTTGTAGAGAGCCATAATCGCCCACTTCATGAAGGGAAGGGCCCTGTAATTGAAAAATATGCGACAAATTAAATTACAAGATTCACTATAATTTTTAATATATAATTATTGAGTAGTTTTTGTGTTTTTCTTTATCTCTTGTACTATTAGAAACCTGTTTAATTACTTATCTATTTGCATCTATTATTTTTATCTAATTATTCATTTATTTACCTTATTATTTATTTGCATATTCATATATTTCCATTTATTTATTTATATACATATTTATATGTTCTTATATATATATATATATATATATATATATATATGGCTCTTTTATTTTACCTTATTTTATATTATATTATTTTATTTTATTTTCGTTGATATATATTTATTTTTATTAATACTTTAATTTAATTTAATTTCACCACAGCATATTTATTATTATTATTATTATTATTATTATTAATAATAATAATAATTTTAGCCAGTTTGCTAATATCAATATTAATAATTACTTAATTGATTTCCATGAAGAAAATGGAGTTACTTCCCTTGGTCTTCTAACGTCTCTTCTTGTTTGTTACTTTTATAACACCAGCGTCTCTCTAAATGAGAATTTATAATTCTTATTTCGAAACTAAATTTTAATCTGGGCCTAAATTCAAATTCAAAATTCCTTTAAACTTTGACAACAATAAATAATATTCCAGCGCAGCAATAAAGTATCACGTGATAAACAGAAATTTCATTAAACCCAAAAGAAAAATGCCAACAATTGATAATTGCTTCGACATAAAACTCAGAGTTATACAATCATTGCCAGGTATTATATATATATATATATATATATATATATATATATATATATATATATATATATATATTTTTTAAATAAGATTCCTTCGCTACATAAGAGTTCTCATGTTTCAAAAACCTCAATGTATGTAGTGAAGGAATCATATTTAAAAAAAAAAATTATTATGATCTAAGCTCTACTTATGTATGGATCACTGTTTTTAAAATAAAAACAAAAATACTAAAGAACTCTGGATTATTTACCTAACGTGTTCTTTCCTATTTTCTACATACCTGCACGCACACACACACACACACACACACACACACACACAAAACATATATATATATATATATATATATATATATATATATATATATATATATATATATCATTATGTGCGTGTCCGCATTCCTGATGATGATCTGTTAGCGTTTGCTTTCGTAAATGTAACACCGTAATACCTCCTCCCCTTGTATCATTCGAAATTACTAAAAGCGCTCTCTATCAAGGGAGATTTGTCTTGACAGGCGGAATGACTTCTGACCACTGCATAAATTCCAGTGATTGCCGTATTCTTCTTGATTCGGGTCAGCATTGCGGACAATCTTGCCAGGCAACATATTACTTTTCGGAATATTGTCGGCAGCAGACGAGAGCAAGCATATCGACAAAGTCTCTCGGAATATCCGTAGAAACTCTTTCGTACCAATCCGAATTCTAAACTGCGTCATTCTGGTCTAGTTTCCGTAATGAAAAGCATTTGGTACGTTATTCTGCCATGTTGTCCCCGTCATTCTAAAATCTGCAAAAGGATTCAAGGCAAATAGTATCTGCCTGTGTGTCACTGAGTCAGCTTTTCGCAATTAACTTTGAAAAATATATGAATCCGCTTCAGGCTCTGTAGCGATTTACGAAGCGTGACTTAGATGCAACACAAGGTCGAAAATATGGCGCTGCCAGTAAGAAATGAACTCACTATTCAGGCATAATTGATCCAGAGAGACAAACAGCCTAACGCTTACACCGGGACGAGGTGCTGCGAGTGATTTACTAAGTGTAGATTAGTTATAGCACAAGGCTGAAAGTATGGGGTACCCAATGAGGATGGAACTCACTACTCAGTCGTAATGAATCCACCGAGACTAGTTTGCTAACGATTACACCACATCGTAGGGTCTCTCCCCATCGCTTATGTATTGTTTGTCGTAGAGTTTGTTTTATTTTGTTTTACGACATCAACCTCAATGGGTTATTTAATACCGACAAGATTTTCATTGCTGGTAATATTTTTTATCTATCTATCTATCTATCTATCTATCTATCTATCTTGGTATCTTCATGCCTATCTGTCTCTCTGGGTCTCTTCATATCTATCTATCTATCTATCTATCTATCTTGGTCTCTTCATATCTATCTATCTATCTATCTATCTATCTTGGTCTCTCCATGTGTATCTGTCTCTCTTGGTCTCTTCATATCTATCTATCTATCTATCTATCTATCTATCTATCTATCTTGGTCTCTTCATGTCTATCTGTCTCTCTGGGTCTCTTCATATCTATCTATCTAGCTATCTATCTCAGTCTATTTATATCTATCTACCTCAGTATATATTGGTTTGGTTTGGCTTGGTTTGTTTTACAGCATATCAACCTCAATGGTTTATTTAATGTCGACAAGATTTTTATTGCTGGTAATTTTGTTTTTCAAAAATGTATTGGTGGTAATGTTTTTCTTTTTCTAACATATATTGCTGGTAATAATTGATTTTTTTTCTTTAAAAATGTATTGCTGGTATTAAAACCTATTTTTACACTTTCATGGTGTTTTGACCCCAGCTTAGGTGTTAAGTATTTGCCCGTAGCTGGGACCATAACTGGTGCTACAACCCCAGGGCCAGGGTTGACCTAGGAACACCAACAATTAACAAGTGGTTCCATGCTCCTCAAAACCTCCCGATGTTGCTGCCGGATGTTTTGTCGTACAGTGTTGACTTCGCCTATCACCGTTAGCAAGTGTGTGTGTGTGTGTGTGTTTGTGTGTGTGTGGAGTAAAACTTACGCATATTTATCTATCTATCTATCTATCTATCTATCTATCTATCTATCTATCTATCTATCTATGCTTATATCCGTACCACTATTACATTTAATATGAAAGATAAAAAGATAAAATTTAAAGGTACGCTAGTAAACAGTTAACACTCACACGCACACGCACGCATCTATATTGCATACCTGGGTAGCATTCCTTCTTTTATAAATGTTTCATTAAATATGGCTCATAAGCTATTTAAGTAGAGTTCTGTGTGATCACTTGAGTGATCTTTGTTCGATTAGGATAATGAATTTCTGTATGACAAATTCCGTTCAGAAGTTGCAAAGTCAAAATAGGAAACGGCCATTCTGCAGGTCGATTTTCTTCGCCATTGGTCCCAACAAGTGCAATAGTGCGAAATATTCATAGAAAAATTCATCGAATTAAAAATCCATAATTTATCTGAAATTTGCATGTAGCTTAAGAAAATTCAAGCAAAGAAAATGACTGTCGAATAATCTTATAAATATTTATAAGACACACACACACACACACACACACACACACATATATATATATATATATATATATATATATATATATATATATATATATATATATGTGTGTGTGTTAAAAATTTTCATCTGTTTAGTGTACATTGAATCAACTGCTAATTCTACAGTTTTAGAAAGTTGGTTCACTATTCTGTGCTAGACATTTTCTTGTCAAAATCTATCTTACATATTTATAAGTCTACCATTCGTCTTTGCTTGGAATATTGCTGCTATATTCGGTCTGGTGTTCCTGCTGTATATTTAGATATTATTGATAATACCCCAAAGAAGAATCTGCAATATTATTGCTCCTGATCCGACATCTCAGCTTCAGTCACTCTCACACCGCCGTAACGTACCTTTTCTGTGTCTTTTCAATCAATATTCTCATGGTAATTGTTCTGCTGAGCTTTCCTCTACGCTATTCCCCATCCCCTCCCTCATTAGGTGGTCAGTGATGTCAGTTCGCTGGTGGATGCGGGCCGCCTTTCGTTTCGTGTGAGTGTTTTCATATTTGTTGTTGTGTCTAAATGAGTGCTGTCTGTGTGAGTGCTTGGGATGAATGAATGTTTCATACTATTATAGTCCCACATTGATTTCGGCCAGTGAACTGATATTTCTGCCACATTTAGTAATTGTGGGGGGGTATTACTAATATTATTTTCTTTAGTTTCTTGTAAATAGTTTTCTTGTATTCATATTGTAAATACTCATTGGGGCTAGTTTTTAGAATTGTTGTTTTATCCCCCCCCACAGACAATGAATTGTAAATATGGGGACTAATTAGTATTTTCATAGAGACAAAGAGGTATTATGGTGATTGTTGTAAGAAAGGTACGTATGAATGTATTGTTTTGGTGTAAGGAATATTGTTCGTACGATTGGGTCAGCGTTTGCAGCTAGCTAAGGTATAGTTAAGACAGAAGAAGACCGTCCTTTCCCCTACCCAGCCTTCGCCCATGTGCCACATTTCTGTATTAAACAGAATAAGTATCGCTTTCCTCTATGCTACCTAGAATTTGTTAATTTAAGTGCAGTACAAGATTAGTGGCAAGGTCCCTTTATTTTACTGTTGAAATGTCTAGATATAACCTTAAATGTGAAAAAGTTTCTTCCATCGCCCTTTTCGCTTGTGGAACTCTCGCCCGGATTCTTGCTTCCAAGTCATTTTTCATGATCAAAATTTTAAATTCAATGTCAATATTTGTCTTCTGTCTTCTTGTTATTTTTATTGTTCTCACGCTTTAATAGTATTTTATATATATATATATATATATATATATATATATATATATATATATATATATATATATATATATATATATCCCTAACATTCTTTGTGTCGTTGTGGTTTTATTGACTTGCTTAGAGGGACATTAAATGGGCCTTCGAGAAAATTAATCTGAGAGAAGAGGATATGGTTTTTATCCAA